CTGATTCATTTCTTCTCAGCACGGTGGGTACGAGTACAGTAGAATTTCGAGCGTTTGTTGGAAGATGCAGTCTTTTTTTAGGCACATGAATGGTGTATATCATGGTAGGATGCCAGCAAGGAAAAAATATCTGGTTTACATAACGATTCTGATAATATTCTCGTTTGTTTCATTTTTTATGCTAATGTCTCCACCATCCTACAGTGAACCGAACTGGACTAATTTCCAAACCAAAAAAGTGAGGATCCTTTTTTCTTGAAGTTCAGGCAAGAAATAATCAATTTTGCGCCCTTTGAAATACATTTTGAGTCCTTATGAAATGCTTTTCGTACTGCAACTTTTCCACAGAATCAACCATTTCGTATCACTGTCACAAAATTGTATAACATCTTCGCTCTTTTGCTATGTAGTAGTTTTCTGTTTTCGTAGTTGGCAGATGTATTTCAGTTCTTCGGGGTTGCGTCGTGTACGCGGCACCCGCACCAGATCCTGGTCCTGGTGAAGGGTGAATGGGTCTGCACTTGCAGTAGTGTGCTAGTTCCTCCGTTCAGAAGTGCCCGAACGGAACTGAAGATAGTGACAACGGTGGCGCCTTCTAGAATCCGGCGCTACCGCACGGTCAACCACACGCTTCACCATAGCCAAACGCGCTACTTATCTACGCCATCTCCTTTTGGTAGTTCTTCTTCTGAGTGTGAGTTGGCTGCGGGATTTCGGTATCGAGCGCTCCATCCTGAGCACAGCGTGGGCGGAGAGGCACCCTTCCGTCCTTCCCCGTGCTCTTTTGAGTGGGGAAAGTGGCACGCTTTCGTTGCTTCACCCCTCCCCTCACCATCGCCGAACAGCGCCTTTGGCAAGATGATATTTAATAGTTCTATCTTCAGCTCAAGGTTGACAATAACTTTGGTGATTTCACCAATTTCGGACCCCGAAATAATGGAAATCCTCCTTAACAGTTTTGTTATGCAAGTTGAGCAGCCAAAAAAAACACAATTCTCCGCGAGAATATTCCCCATAATCTCAGGAGCAAAGCGGATGTCGCAGTTAAAGCGCGCCGACCTTCGATCTATCCACGTCGGAAATTCATGGGTGACTGTCGGAAAGCCTATGGGACTGTGACGATCTTGATCATGTATACATCAAAAACCTTGTAAGTTCGCTCATTTCTGAAACTTCATTCTGAACAGAGAAATGAGAAATGCTGTCAGGGTAGGATAAAATTGGGATTCTTCAGACCTGGAGGAACGAATGGGCGAACAATGGCGTGCTATGCCTCTCTATCCAATTATAATCTAGTCCGTGTAGACATCGACATCAATGAGAGGATCAATGCTGCTTGCTCCAAATACAGAACGGTTAGGCTACAAATTTCGGTCTTGTTCGTAAGGACGCTGTGGCATCCCAGAGGGGGTTTTTGCGCTTGACGCTGTTACCTTTTGTTCTCCACAGATTGCGAAAAGCCGACAAGCGACGTAGAAACTGGCCGCGCCGCTCCATGCCCACCCCCCCCCCTGAAGTGTCCGCACTATCATTCTTAGGGGTGCTCAAGATTAACTGGAACTGGAATCTCTCTAAATATAAACCACAAGCTTTTTTGTGTGTCTGCACGTCTGTGTGACCGCCTGAAAATTGAGGTCGTGGAAATTCATTTTCAGGGAACTTATTAGGGAACGGATTTTGTTTGCAATAGATGTGGCGTGGGCCAACATTGCAGATCACAAAAAAGGTAGCCTAAGCTCCACACACAATGGGCGGGGCGTGCGCCGAAGTGAACGAAGCCGAGGGTAAAAAACCACAAATAGCGCGGAGCAGGTCACCAAATGGGGAATATGGGTGAAACTGAGCAACGGGTTGGCTGATGAACTAGGGAGAGACACCCGTGGAGTATGTAGTGTACCACATGGTTGGTGCCGCCTGCCACGGTTCATTCGGCAAGTCCTCAACAACAAGGAGGTTGTCTTATAGAAATTTCCACACCGTCTTCAAGGGGGGGGAGGGTAGTATGTTCATGAAAAATATTTTTTACAAATCGCCCGCAATCCGATTGGCCCTCATTTGCAGAAGGTGGGGGGATTATCCACTTCACACGCGGGCATTTGAAAAAATCAAGGAGGTATACACACTTTGCACGCGGAAGGAGGATCGCCCAGTTTCGCCGCACTGAGCGACCCTACTCGCTCTCATTAAAAAAAGCTGGGGGAGTACCCACTGCAAATGCGGAAGGAGGATCAATGTGCTCTCTCACAAATATTCTTCACAATATTATGAAAAAAAGAATAGGTCCTACCTAGACATCAAATGTGAGAGGTCTAGTGGTCCTCCTGCGTCATGATGGATGCACCAGTACTCAGCATCGTGTCGTGCGCAGAACCATCCAGAGCGCCAACAAAAGGATTGTCGCGTCATCCCTAACATCCCATGCTCCGCCTGTGACAGGTCATTGTCTAGAATGCTCATTCTAAACCGTCCAGGATGCTCATTCTAAACTAATCAAATCAAAAATCTGCATCCAAACCAACCCAAATTCAGTGATTATCTATCTGAGGTTCTGGGGAAGATCTAGAATACCTCCTTATTTTGACATTGATCTCGCTTTTAGACGAACCCTTTTCAGACAAAATATAAGAAGTACTGCGCTGCGGCCGATTTTCTTCAGGATACCGACTGGATGCTAGTAGTTGATGACAATTCAGGTACTGCAACAAAAGACACTTTTGTCAACTCAAAGAGGCGTAACTTGAATTATTTTTTCATCTCTACACAGTCTTGTCCTCTGCGGAAGATGGGGCGTGCCAGAGGTATTCATTTGGCGCAGCGCCAATTCGTCTCTTTTCCTTTGTTTCCCTTTTCGGCAAGCGAAAGGACTGCGGGTATCGTTTGTCGTAGCCTGATCGTAGTTCCGGCAGAGAAAGGACTGCGGGTATCGTTCGTCTTAGCCCCGATTGTAGTCCCGCTTCAACAACTGGTGGAGAGCGGGTTGGGCGCGCCAAACCCGCCTTACTGACACATCCCATAATCCGCAGCGAGAAAAACTGTGGGTGTTCTTCACTATGGGAGCTAAATGTCCGTTCTCGATTGAACTATTAGAGTCCACACAGTCCATTGCAGCGATAGCAAACCCAAATCACTGCATCGAAGAATGGATTGATGATAGAGTCAACATAATTTTCCTGGAGCAATTTAACAGTTGGATGATTTCCGATGAAAATTACCTGGTAAATTACTTTTGATCTCGTGGAGACATAATTTCTGTTTACGTCTGATTTTATGACATTCCTGCAACCCCTTTTCGAATGTTTGCCAATCATGCTGCAGGTTCGACGAAGCGAGTGGTCTATAAACTTCCTGCGGGAATTGGCTGACAAAGAGTTTACTCCAAGAGGTCGGAGCAGATATGACAAAGGAATTCTATCGGTAGGTTTCATTCGATAAGAAGAAGAATATCACCTCATATTGAAAATACTTTAAATACGAGTCGGCGCAATTCCACTCGATGGGGGCACCAATTGGTAATCGTCAAAATCTAAAGAGGCCAGCTTATAGAGGCCTCTAGGTCCCTGTAACGTTAACGACTTACTTGTACCGTCTCGCAGCTTCACGAGAGTTTTAAGTTCTAACCGATTTGAGACCTGCATATTTGTGTGAGCCGCTAGAAAGTCCTATAGTGAAAATGTCCCTTCTAAGCTGAGCAATGTCTTCAAGTCTTTCAATCTTTGAACAAAAATATTTCATAGATAATAGTTTGAAAA